CTATGTGGGAGCTATGTTACTTATTAAGTAACAATGAGACCCTGATATCCCATTCCATTTTCATATTTACCTGTAAAATCAGAATTTACTGTCAGCAATGGTCTCAACATTTACTTAAAAAAATCTGGCTTGAAACCAACTTGTGTTTCTGGTTGTTGCCAATTGATGGGATATTCTATAAAACCCAAAATATACCCAAAATACACCCACCATAAGTAAACACATCTCTTTAAATTTTTGAACCCTTCTACACAGATAAAATCATGTACTTTTTCATACCTGGTCCCGAGCAGATTCCAGTTCCTGATATTGCTCTTCCAGTTCTGTATCCTTTGATTTTAACATATTCCACACCTTCTGAAGCTCTTCTCGGACCAGAACCAATTCAGAGTCCACTTCCTCCAAGGACGCCTAAACAAAGTAAAACATCAATAACAATGCAAAGATAAGAACTCTATTACTGAAACAACAAGGGAATGAAGCTGACATACATGGAAGACAGCAAAACAAACCATTGAATATAAGGTTCAGTAGATAATGATTGGAAAAATATATATTTTTTTGCCAAAATATATTTTTGCTCTAATAGCTCACAATCACACTTGTATCTTATGCCCAAACATTTATTGTGAACCTTAGCAGTACACTTATTTCTGTATGGACAGCTGTAAAAAATGTCCAACCCAGTAGGTTGAGCTTCTGTCCAATGCTGATCACTCAGAATTACCAATCACATCACATTTTACACTGTGCACTTTGTGGTTAACATTCTAACTTGGTAAAGAGCAGAAAAATGATTCTGTGGATACGGGGTACTATATTTAATTTTTATGGGCCCAGGTTTCCTGTACATCACAATGATGTAATGTTACAATTTAAATAACCCCTGCACAACCCCCCATGAAGAACTTGTCCAACATTCCACCTTCTAGTTGATATGCATGTGGGATGCATTTTGGGAAAGGCCACAAAATTATGTATATGGTTAAATGTAAGTATCATATCTGAATGATTTCTAACTCAGGAGTTAAATCTTAAAAATGCATTCAAGTACCCCAACTATCAACAAAAATGTAACTTATTTGTGTTTCACTTGATGTAGTTCCTCAAATCATCTCTGAATTGACGCTGACACTGTCCTCCCTTCTGGAGGGTGGCAACGTTTGTTCCACAATGTCCATGTGTGTTGTAAAGTGGCCACCGCTCCAAGCTCATTCCCGTGATCATCTACAATCTCAATACAAATTAGTTAACTAAATGTGAGATTGTAGTCCATCACAGGAGTGAGCTTGGAGCGGTGGCTACTTTACAACACACACGGTGACCATGGGGAACAGAAGTAGCCACACTCCAGAAGGAGAGTGTCAGCACCAATTCCAATAGTTAAGGTACTTGAATGCATTTAAGATATAACTCCCAAGTTGTGTCACTTTATTGAGGCCAGTTTGCAATCATTGTTTTTGATACACACTTACCTTGATGTCTCCAGGCTTCTTACACTTCAGATCTTCCAACTCCTGAATGTAGGTAGAGATCATATTTTTAAGGCATCTTTTAGTAATAATAGTGTAGTGTGTGTAGATAGACAATTTTAGAAAACAAATGTTAAAAAAACAGTGCAAGTGATTTATCTCACATTTACTCATTGTCAAAGCAAATTACAAATGGCTAACAGTTTTCTCACCTCTTTCAGGGTAAATATCAGCTCATCTTTTTGCTTCCTTGTTTCTTTTTCCTTTTCCAGTTGCTGCTCTAGGTTCTGTATTTCTGCCCTGACATCACCCACGCTCAACCTACGAGATAGTTCATGTTATTCACCATATCATGTGTCTTTTCCAGATCCATCCAATTAGGCTTTTTTAATGAGTACATTTTTATTACGTTTTATTTTTTTTTTAAATACAAAGATTGCACAAGAGGCGGGAGACCGGCTCCTTCGCAAGTACATTCAATTACGTTTTCAGTGTCTTTAGTATAAATGTTTGCATAACTGAGCTAAAAACTAAAACTTACATCATTATACGCTTTCACCATTTCATTATATGAATAATCATCTAATAAATAATACTGATAATAATATAAATAATAATATTCAGTGATTACTTTGGGTTGCATGAGTTACTAACTTACATACCTCTTTAAAAGATCCACAGAATTTTGGCTTCCCATACCACTAAGCCAATCCTAGAAAAACATATACAAATTATATACATACACAATATAGACATATGTATACAGTACATTACACATTATATAAAAGATGAACAACAGGCTATTAAGAGTAGCCTCACTAGTTAAGTAAAGAACATACATTTTGTACTAAAGCAAAGCAAATTGTGGTATCCATAACAGTGACCGTACAAATTCCACCAGCCTGTCCAGTATATTCTTTCTTTACTTTTCTTTCACTAATAAAAAAACTTTCGTTTTGTTGGTAAGTGTGAAAAAAGCATCCCCAACCTCCCAAACCTCCAACCGCAATCTGAAACAAAACGTCTTTACAGACGTTTATTATTTGACATAATAAAAAACTACAAACAATGTGTTAAATCCTTGATGGCCAAAATGCAGCCTGAGGGCCACATATGCTCTTTGGTACTTGCTGTGCAGCCCTTTCCAGACCCCATAAGTGGGAGAATTGATTTGCAAAGGGGCTGTAATAGCAGTGATCTTTAGCAGTGATGTAACATGTCTGACTGTTTCCTTCAGCAGGTCTCCAGTCTCCGAGAATACTTGTAGCATGTCAGCAGTCTCCGACCATTCCTCTAGTATGTTAGTATGTCTGCAGTCTCTGACAGTCATTTGTTATCAATAAGCAGGAGAAACAAAAGGGGGCATTATAAACGTAGTGCCGGCTAAAAACTGGAAAATGTGCATGTGTGATATTTACTGATCTTAAATAAAAGTAAACAACACATGGCCAAGCATTAAAAATAGCAATTTCTTTGGAAAATAAATACACAGAGGACAGACTCTTCCCGTGCTTGTTGTTATAAATGTTCTCTGTGTTCAGGACATTTTGTAGAGATCATGTTGCCCTTCGCATGCATGAATGAGTTCACCTGTTTGAACACGTTACAGCGCTTGTGTTAAAGTAGTATTAAACTCTCAAACTTTTTGTCAGTAATGAATCCAGATAGAACAAGCATACATTGCCCAATAAAGCATTGCTTTAAATTTTTGCCCAAACATTTACAATCATCATGTATTCTGAACAGGTGCTTCCAGGTTTCTCAGCACAGCCTCCCTTAGCTTCCTGTCCAGTACAAGATCACAAAGGGCAGTGCAGATTTCAGCAACTGTTCATCTACTAGCTCGAAGAAGGGATGAGGGTCTGTGTGTTTGTAGAGACACACACAGCTTACTAGCACACACAAGGGTGACTGCATAGCAGTCTGCTTGAGAAAGGAGTCACTCTGTAACAGGAAGTGAGGACCAGTGCTCAGGGGAGCAGCTCAATCTGCAGGAAACTACAACTTTTAAACATCAAGGAGCAGCATTTATTGTAAGTGATTTCATCAGCATTTGAAATAGCTTAAAATCCTTTTGACTGTATCACCACTTTAAGTAATTATTTTTGCAATTCAAACATTGAATGTGTTGTGGAGGCAACCTACTGGCTGATTTATATGCAGAGATACTATACTATACTACGGAGTGTAATCATTCTTTCTATAAACTCCTGCAACCCCCTCTTCCTACACTTCCTATGCTTTACTTACCAATAGAGGTAGCCAGATAAGGTAAAGAACAACAATACATGTATTTATTTATTTTTAATTCCCACACTACCTTATGGTAAATGCGGTCCAACCAATAGTGTACAATTCAAAGCACTTGCATCACCCTAAACATTTTGTGTATGTTGACTAAAGCTTTTGGATTTGTACCTTGCTTTTCCTTTCCTCTGACATTATTGCCTCCAGTTCTCCAACTCTACTTTGTAGCACCTCCCGACGGCTTCTGTCCAGTTCCAGCTGCTGCCTACAGGCATCTAGCTCAATTCGAAGGACTGATCCATTCTCATTCTGCATAACAAAGCGAGCAGTACAGTGTCATTGCAAGTCTTCATATTCTTACACATATACAGTATAAACCTAAGTAAGGCATTTCAAATTACAATTGTATGTTACATTAATTTTAATGCTCCTTATGTAATCTGGCAAAAGTGCTGAATGATGAGAAGATCTTAATGGGATTCCATAGTCCTCTGCATACATTATCAGCATGTTAGTCTCTGGAGGAAAGACTGTAACTAAGGCTTACTTCTATTTGTACCCCATACAGTGATAGTACATGTAGCAAATAAGTACTCACAACCGTACAGCCTTTGATTTGTCCTTAGCTTCATCCAACTGCAAGCAATTGAGCTTTCCATTAACATACACTCACTTTATAATTACAATGTCATTTGAAGTTGGATTAGTAAATGTTGTTAGCTTGATATTAAAAAGTAAAGCCATAAAATATTTATAGAATAACAGAGCTTACCTTTAGTTTTCTCATCTCTAATTCTTTATCTGACTTCTCCTTCTCTAGATCTTTTATCTTTTCACTGTGGAGATAATGTGATAAAAGTAATCCTATCCATTATTCCTCTATAAACAGGCTCTACATTCCAAAACACAATCAGTGAATAAACATTTCGGGAGGGCAGACCTGGGTGTGCCAATTACAATACAGTGAGACTGGGCACTATTCACTGACATGCCAACATACCATCAGCAAAGATTTTATAGATGGGTAATAATACTTAATGACATATACAAAACATGGTAAAAGGGTGACACCAGATATTTGTATAGTGCCAAAATAATTTGCAGTGTTTTGCAACTCTGTCTAAAGCTGTCCATATGTATGTATGTTATATCAAAATGACAGCTTTCAAGTATGTATCTATTGTAACATGGTGCTAGTAAAACATGCCAGGTTGGCAGGAAAAGGGATAGATGGTAGATACATTTCTCCACGGATCCTTAGATTCATCATCTAAGGTAATGCCAGCATAGATTTGAAGGTAAAGAAAAATAGCTCTTTACCTTGCATTGGTAAAACAAATCCTGGGGCTGGTGTTACTAGGAGTCTGATAGAGTTTTGGGTGGGACAGACTCCTAGGTCCATGGACCGTAGTTTAGTGAAGACTGCACAGGACTTCATTAGTGTGCAGCTGCACCTAGCTGGGGGGAAGTGTGTGTCTCGGAGAGACAGTGTGCTGAATGCAGCAAGTTCTGTGTTTGGAGCCAAGCCTGTCAGCAGGACAGGGTTCTGTGGATGGACTGTAACTGTTCCCATAGAGGAAACGGACCCAGCTCAGAGGACTATCGCTAATTTCCAGTAAGGCTCAGCGGAGCGGACTTTTATTTGTTTATGACAATTTTTTTGGGGGGGGTTGGATGCCTGTAACCTTTTTTTTGTCAATTGATTGCTGTCTGGAATTAAAGCTTACATTTATGTTGAAGAGACTGCGAGTTTGCCTCTACATTTAGGGGTCTATTCACAAAGCTGCCGATGGCAGCCGAGTGAATGATCGATCAGAAGTGAAGTGAGCCGAACACTGTTCGGCTATTCACTTCAGGCTGGTACGGAGTTCCCTACACTATTTATATGTGAAGATGTTTGTATATGCACTATAGTATGTTTTAATACTTGGTTTGCAAATTAGAGATGTACAAATTAGAGACAACTTGGGTAACAGAACTCTAAATTTCTAAAAGGCTAACTTCAATAAGCTGTGCTCTTTACTGTATACTCAATGGGATCAAATATTTTTCATTGAGGACATACAGTATTAAACAACTGCATTTGCCAGTGTATTCCAATGGGTACCAAATATAAACGAACCAAATTAAAACCTAACTGGCTAAATTTAAGTTTTAAAAAGCAGATAAATAAGAACAAAATGGCTTTAAAAAATACAAAATTGGTAGGGTCATCCTCTGCATTTCAGAGTTACAGGGAATGCAACAAGAGATGCAAGGGAGCAAACAGGGCAGTTAAAATAGATTACAAAAACATATTGCTACAGTAAGTAAAACACAGCTCAGAAATGTAATCAAATATATCAATAGTAAAGGGTAAGTTTAGAACATGTAGGCCCCATAAAAGATGGACATGGGAAGTTGGTCACAAATGACGGGGATAAAGCAGATGTATTGAATACATTTTTTTCTTCAATTTGCACAAATGGAAAATTCTGCAGGTGTATGACCAGCTTTAGAGTAGTAAATTCAGTAAAATCTCTAAAAATCACAAAGTATTTTTTAAATAATCTCAATATTGTCCATTGAGGGACACAGGAATGTAGCAATTCTTACACCTTTGGATTAAACTGCCACCTTCAGGAGGTTTGGACACTGGCAAACAAAAAAAAGTAAGTCAGCCCTTGTATAACCAACTACCAACCATCATGCCTCAGTTATTTGCTAGTGTCCTAGGAGGCTGAACATTTGGACAGCCTCTGGTCATGACGAGATTTGGACAATGGGCCCTGCATAGTTACGGCTGAGGAAACTGAGCACTGACCTAATTTACTTGAGTTTAATTCGGAACTCTCTTCCCCAGGAAGTAGGACTAGCTGAGGATCTTGATACATTCAAGATGTTTTTAGATGTTTTACAGAGGTATGGGAATTCTTAGAGACTCAAACACACACACACACACACACACACACACACACACACACACACACACACATACTAAACTAGATGGCCCCCATGTCTTTTTTTCAACCTTACCAACTATATATGTAGCTCTATGGAACTTTAATTTAACTCTAAAGTATACATTTCTGACATTGGCTACTGGTAAGAATGAATGTGGACCAATATGGTCCAAAATAGCTACTTACTGAGCTTGTTGGAGCTCTCCATATAAGTCTTTTAGCTGAGTTGTCATTCCTTCATTCTTTTCTTGCTGCAGAAATAAATGTATAACTTAATCAGAATGAATCTGTACTAAACAAAAAATAATAGGGTAACACAACTAAATGCATATATTCATAAGTGTCACACAGTACACAACTCTGAAAAACAAAATTCCATATTGTAACAATACAACAGCTTCAATTAATATTAGAGCTCAGTAACAGAAGCACTAAGAACAGATTCTGGTATTCCAACTGTTCTCTCTTAGAACCCACCATAAGTCTTATTTCCTGTTTCAATACATTTTTATTAATAAAATGCATATGTAATGTGTATCTGTGACGACATGGTGATGAGTTTATAAGTTAAATGTGTATTGGTGTTGGGTTATGTTTGAGTGCGTTATGCTGTGTGACCTGGTTATGGAAAGACTATCAGCACCATCCCTCGTTATCTCCCATTGTTCTCTGAGGGAGCTCAGAACAATTACATTCTGGCCAGGCTCCTGCTATGGCTGTCTGGAGTTCGTTAGCAGGTGGACACCTGTGGTGTTGAGCAGACCGATGGTCTGGGAGGGGGGGGGGGATGTGGTGGGATTATATTCTGATTTCATCACTTGCTGTATATACGTTTGTGCAGTTGCTCAATAAATCAGAGTTTGTTTACCCTACACTCAAGCCTTGGCTAGTGACTGGGGAAACTGGGAGCTACAGATCAGCGGGCTGCAATATCTCCTCAGCAAGGAAGAAGACAGCGGCGGACATACTCATCCTGAGTACGGGGGTCCGTCACAGTATCATGAATCCATATGTAACATGCGTAACATATTTTGTGTATTAGCATGTCATCTACATCAACATAAGCTCTAGTATGGTTACAAATCCAATAACAAGCAAACAGGAGCTAATCATGTAGGTTGTAGAATAGGTACATAGGTCGTGTTTCAGGACTTCCTTCATCCTGTCCAAATACAAATCAAAGCATGCTCTTTCAAGAGAACATAGCGTTCAGGAATAAAAAACAAACATGTTTGGAACTTACTATTGAGTTTTGAAGGTGTTGTAGGTGTTGCCTTTGTTCTACTCCCACCATGTGCTGGGACAGCCTGTTATTCTCCTCTTTTAACCTGGAGCAAAAGTGAGATATTTTATGTGCAACACATGTTATATTCAGAAATATAAAGCATATATTCTACATGGAAACTAAGTATTTCTCTTATATTTCTGTGCCTACATGAAAATACTGTGCCATTTGTTTGTTTATGTTCTTATTTTAAGGCAACATGTAAGCCCTATAAACAATTGTTCAGCAAGAGCACCTGATAAAAGTAAAATTGGCCATACATGGAGCACATTTCGACCTGCGGGTGGCCCTGCTGGCACCCTTCCACTCGACAAATTTTTCTGCCACTGTCAGAATACAATAGGCCAGCAGGGAAATTTCCCTCACTGATGCCATTTAGTGTGGAAAGGGGAATCAAGCAGGCTGAATGAGAAGATGGCCTAAGGCCAACTTTAGTGTACAGAGATGATTCCAACTTTATCTCAAGGCATGTCAAACTCAAAAGCAACAATGGGCCAAACAAAGTGGAATTAATGCTTATCTGGGGCCACATGTCATTATGTCTACTGAGGCCACACCTATTTAATTCCAGGGAAATATTATAGCACCTTGCTAGGTATCATTGCAACAGAAACTGGAGCTTACATATCTTTATCCCAGATAAAGGGGTCATAAAGCATTTACTTAAGCATTATTTTGCTAAATTGTTTAAGGAAGTGTAGATTTTATCAATTGGAGCTGCATTTAGTTTAAATTCCTAAACTGCTCATGGGCCACAAAGAAACAAAGGGAATTAAGAGTTATAATCTCATGGCCAGAAAGACTGAGGGGGCAACAGGTGGCCCAAAAATGACATGACTGTTTTACTCAGACTTCTACTGAGAGAAATATGCAGGCTGCCTGCCACTACTGACCAACTAGTATGAAATCAGTGAATTCTGGCCTCATGCACACTAGCCAGCTGCATTTAAGCACAAGAGAAGTTACCCCCCAAGTATAAACAACTTCATATTTTCCAGATCACCTTTTCCTGTGCTTACTTGTTGCTGGACTTAGTTGCATTCACATGCATTTACAGGTGAACCTCAAATAATTAGAATATCGTGCAAAAGTTTATTTATTTCACTAATGCAACTTAAAAGGTGAAACTAATATATGAGATAGACTCATTACATGCAAAGCAAGATAATTCAAGCCGTGATTTGTCATAATTGTGATGATCATGGCTTACAGCTCATGTAATGAGTCTATCTCATATATTAGTTTCACCTTTTAAGTTGCATTAGTGAAATAAATGAACTTTTGCACGATATTCTAATTATTCGAGTTTCCCCTGTATACATGTTTACACATGTTTACACATGTTTATATGCATTTACAAATGTTTAGCAATGTGAAAAACCGGTCTAATCAGACCCAGGATGCATACATTTCTAGTATGGGTAAAGGCTTCTAGACTGAATCCGCATAGATTCTGCTGGACATCTAGATGTGCATTCAGTCATAGAAAAACATTACATGAGTCCAGGTCCAAATTCACCTGGACTGATGTTTTTTCAACGTATTGTGCATGAGGCCTTAGAGTCAGAACTCCTGATCTGCATACTTGTACTAGGTTAGTGGCTCAGAAAGCATTGATGTCAGATTGTTAACAGCCAGCCAGTTAGGCATCTAAAGAAGCAGAAGTCAGTGGGGTGGGGGGGTGATACAATGAGCTCAGTTTTTGAAAGATTGAGCTTTAAGAAGTGTTGTGACATCCAGACTGATATGTCAGTTAGTAAATTAGTGATACGCAAGGAGACTGACGGATTGGGTTGTGGAGTTGAGAGATATATTTGAGTGTCATCAGCATAGAGCTGGTACTGGAAGCCAGGTGAGGTGATCAACTGACCAAGAGAGGAGGTGTAGATAGGAAAGAGAAGGGATCCAGGGAAAGAGCCTTGTGGTACCCCAAGACACCCATCTATGACAAAAATAGAGAAGCCAAGCTTGAATGGAGGTTGTGGGGTGAGACATCTATTGTCTGACACATACAATGCTGTTTTAACACCTCTCTCTGGGCAGGTTATTAACACCTCCTAGACTCCAATTATGCAAATGCAATCAACACCTGGTTGTGACTAACAGAATACGTGGATTGGAGCAACATTCACCATATTTATTCCCTGAAAATTTTTGTACAAGTATTTCTGAATTGAGAAAGCTGGTCGGATGACAAGTGAAACGTCTTCAAGAAAAATACAGCAAGTCCAGTTGCCTTGACTTATTTTTTACAGATATTGAAATTGTATTGCAACTGTACTGTCTCCCTCCATTTTGTAAAGCGCTGAGCATACTGTTGGCACTATATAAATCTATAATAAAAATAATAATAATAAATAAACTCAAAAAACTTTGTACTTTGGTATAGGTCATATTGGGGTCAATTCACAAAGCTCAGCGTTATGAGAGTAGAAGTTAATTTATCTATCCTTATTTTACCACTCTTTATTTTACTGGCTGAAACATGCAATTCACAAAAGCCAGAATCGTACCAATGTGTCCTAAAAGCTGAACAGATCTGCCAAGCAGCTCCAGAATACATACACAGACATTCTCCTAGTTACCTAGCATAGCAGTTTACAAAGTGTATTAATTACCTTTTACATTTACTGTTTTAAATATTACAGTGATAAATGTTCATTTGACACACTTCATTTGTTATTATGGTCAAAATCTGGATCATTCACAAGCATTCTCTAACAACTGTATGTTTACTTTTCAGATTATAAAATGCAGAAACAGTAGCTTGCATGTAGAGCAATGGAGTACTGTAGACATTTTTACTGTTCAGTTACTTATAAAACCCAAATGCAGATCTGCTTGTTTGTAATGTTCTGTAACCAACCTGCTCACTGCTGCTTTGAGCTCAGACAACTCTTCTGTGTCGGCCTGAAGCATTTCACAATCCTGCAGTAACTCTGTGTTCTAGGCAGAGAACAGAGTGAGAAATAAGATAGAAGTCACCTTCTTGATTCAAAGTTTCCACGAATGGATGAGTATAGCAGGCAGCAGTTTTCAACCTTATTGCTTTTTAAGCATTATTTGCAATTGTGACATCCATAGGGCAACATAATATTGTATAATCAGAATTGTGTGCAGTGCAATTTAGTAAATAACTGAATTAATAAATGTACATAAAGCAATGGAATGACTATGGTATTTGGATATATTATATCATTTTAAGATATCTGTTTACAGGGTTCTGAGCAATTGTGCAATAACATATTTTGAGAGCCCTAATCTTGAAGGTGACCCAGGACATCCTTGACGTAACCAAAAGTAGAATGCAGTAACAAGGTAGCAAGACAGAGGCTGGGATAATAGATTGAAGACAGAAAAGATGATCTGACAAGGATCTAGCACAGGAGTGGACAACGCTGGCCTTCCAGCGCTTGTGGAACTACAAGTCCCATAAGGCATTGCAAAACTGACAGTTACAGGCATGACTCCCAGAGGCAGAGGCATGTTGGAATTTGTAGTTAAAGCACAGCTGGAGAGCCAGAGTTGCCCACCCCTGATCTAGCACCATGCTAATATGACACTTTTGTAAAACAGGCAGAGTTCAATCAGGTGTGAGTTGGGGGGAGTAGGAAAAAGACGTAGGGCAAAGTAATGAGTAGCAGGGCAGAGACAACAACCCTAAGGGTCGATTCACACCACATCCAGATTACCTCCAGACCAGACTGTTTCCGGACCCAAAATGCATCCCAATGTATCCCTATGCTATTTCTGGCCTCTGTTCCCACCAGCGCAGTCCGTTCCAGACCAGACCAGAAAAATACTGTTTGTCCTATTTTGTCTGGTCTGGAATGCACTGGAACGCATCAAAAAATGCATGGAATGCACTGGAACTCACCTGTAAGACCATTTTAAGCTAAAAAAAATCAAATCGCGGCAAAATCGCAGTATAATCGTGTCAAAAATGCAATGCACTGTGTTCCAGATCTGGTCCGGAAAATGGTGTGAACCTGCCCTAATTCACTAAACTGTTCTACAACAGTTTACATGTGTATAAGAAAAACATTTACTTTGCATTCTCCTAAACGTTTGTCATAACTTTTTGATGTTAAATTTTCTAGCCAAAATCATCTAATGTTCCTTCATGGCCTCAACATACATATTTTTAGATAAAACAATGTACTCAGCTCTTATTTTAGTTAAGGGTCATTATCCACAAGTACTCTTATTTAAATAACATTTCTCTGTGCATTAGTCTGATATAAAGAAGGAACTTTAGCAGGATATATGAAGTTTGGTTGGTGTGGTTAACACTCCCAACCAATAATTCTCCAGTGACATTCTGAGCATAGCTTTATCATATCAATAAATTCCCTTCCTGTCCTGACTAGGCTTAGCAAGAATCCGTCTTTAATTATTATGACTAGATTTTTTTAGTTATAGGGCTTTTTTATGAACAGTTAAAGAGGAACTTTACCCATATCTTCAAAATAACAACAAAGACACCTTTAGAAATATTTAGTGATGGCAATCTACAAACAGATACTTCTAGATAATTGCCGGCTTTTTATTTTTTGCATACCTTTTTTTCCCCCTCCCCATTCTTTCCACAGTGGCCATTTTAACTAAGGGCAGATGAATACATCTCCCTTTACTTCCCATAACTCTGGCACATGTGACTAGGACATGTGGTCATGCACCTCATCTCAGGGGAGAAAAATGCCTTTCCCTGAGATCCCATGAGATTACAGATGAGATTTCCCGGCAATGCTGATGTAACCTTCCCAGGATGCAACGTTTAGGCACGATTACATCATTGGTGCCAAAGTGGACCAGGAAGTAAAAAAACGAAATTGTAAGTAAAATAAAAATATGTTTGTTTAGCTAATGAATGTAAGATGATTTCATATCAGCATGCAGAGCAGTATGCTAATGTGATTTTTAGTCAAAGGGGGTAAAGGTCCACTTTTATATGTTTTTAGCTGAACAACAACTGTTTGCTTTGTCATGTGAGCACAGCAGAATCTAGTGCCTCAAACAATACCTTTACACTCATAGTATTGTATGTGTGCAAGTTTAGAATGTATTTTCCAACTGCTTAATTATTTTCTAATGAGTAATCAAATTTCCAAGTATGCTGCCAGATTTAATGTTAGCACTATATTCTCTCATGAGATAATATTACTTAATAAAATAATTTAATTCTCTAACATATAAAATGTTCTAAAACCAATGGTAAAACAATCTTAGTAAGATTACAAAATAACAGTTTCCCTGAACGTTCCCACACCTTTCCTGTAGCTTTCTGAGAGTGAGCTCTTTCTTGTTCTAGCAGCTCCTCTACGTTCTTCAAATTTACTGCTGTCTGTTGCCATCTTTCCTTCCAATATAGGGTGATCTGCTGTTGCTCCTGGATTTGGGAGCCTAACTGTTCATGTGCTTGTTCCAGAGTTGCCTGCAGTTCACGGCAATGGGCTTGCAGTTTGTCTCTTTCTTCCTGTAGATGTTCCTGGGAAGCTCTGAAAGTTTCATACGGTTGTTTAAAACTGACTTATGTTAGAAGATCTCTGTTTTAAAATCTATGGACATGACTTACATCACTGTATTAATTTCATAAATGTCTGTACAAAACATCTAACCTGCTATTAAACACAAATAAAATAGTTCAGAATACACAACAAAAGCATAATTGTTTCCGACTGTCTTCAGTTTCAATATAGTGATAAAAATATGAAAGAAGATTAGTTTGGATTGTCCTGCAGTGGGAAAGTGATAGTTATATTTCTTGGGGTCAACCTATGTTGTACGTGCTCATCTACGGTCATGGCTAAAGGTAAATTCTGATGTGCCACAAAGGCACATTTTTGAAATTTGGATTCTCTTCATTGTAGTTATCTGGAAAGCTAGAGAGTAGAGCTTCTGCTCCTGCTAAATTAGAGGAACCCTCTAGAGGTGATCTGAACATCTTATACAGATGACCCAAGGATAGTTGACAGACCTATTTCAGCCATGTCAAACTAAGATGAGTTTCTTTGACTCTACAAAATCTGAAGTTATTACATTTAATTGATTTTAGGAATGTTTTGGATCCTCCATGGACCACCTGGAGTCCACTATCAGGCAAAGAGAATTCTGGGACAACAACCTGCACCAGAGACCCCCAACTAGGATAAATAACAGGAGAAGTTGAAATGATAGGATTTGTTCTAAAGAACATTTATCAATAACATTGTACTTTGAGCTGCTAAATTTCTCCATAGACATTACAGTCGAAAAACAAAGTGAAGTATTTAAAACAATGTTAGATTTTGCAAACTATTGGAGCACAACAGTTTACCTGAAATCCTGGACACTTCGACTTTCCTCATCATTTTCCACAGCAGCCATTAGAAGCTGCTTCTCTTCTAGTAGTTGTTTGCGTTCAGCTTCAAGTGCAACCGAAAGATTGCTGGCAATCTTGTGCTCTGCTTGAGTCTGGTGCAATTGCTCCAGAGTATTCTGGAGAGTTTGCTGTGTTTGCCCCAACTCGTCTGTCAGTTTCTCATTGACCTGGCAATACAATGGACAATAATACACTATAATAATTTACATACAAATATATAACAAATGATAGTAATTAGGAATGCACCGATACTAGTACTTGTACTCGTGAAGATGCCCTAATACATAGCGCCGGCGCTTTACATTTTTAAATGACTTCGGCTAGCTGAAGTAGCGCGATTGTTGGAGACTTCAGGCGGATCTCATGATAGCTCTTTCACATCTCCTCCTTCTCGAGCCCAGCACTGCCCTGGACAGGACCACACTCGTTCGTACAGCCCGGCATCCTCCGATTCAGCACTGGAGAGCCCGTAATGCAGCCATGGTAAGATGAAAATGCAGGCCTGGAGACCCCGATGCCCGGCACCCACCCATTCAGGCCTGGAGAGCTCCACATGCAGCCATGGTGAGAAGCGAACGCAGCCCTGGAGAGCCCGGCATCCGCCAGTACAGCCCTGGAGTGGCTCATATGCAGCCCTGGTGAGACCCAAAGGCAGGCTTGGTGAGACACAAACGTAGTCCTGGTGAGACCCAAAAACAGCCCTGGTGAGACCCTAACGCAGCCCTGGTGTCACCCAAACGCAGCCCTGGTGTCACCCAAATGCAGACCTGGTGACACCCAGACAGAGCCCTGATGACACCCAGACAGAGCCCTGGTGACACCCAGACAGAGCCCTGATGACACCCAGACAGAGCCCTGATGACACCCAGACAGAGCCCTGATGACACCCAGACAGAGCCCTGGTGACACCCAGACAGAGCACTGGTGACACCCAGACAGAGCCCTGGTGACACAGAAATGCAGCCCTGGTGAGATCCGCACACAGCCCTGGTGAGACCTACACACGGGCCACATGGTCCCGAAACGTTGCTTAGGAGATGTGTATCATCACAGTCAATAAACATTATAGACTTTATTACTTTTGGAGTGCGAGTGACTACTTCAATTTATCTACACACAGCCCAGGTGAGCCGGTTGCCATTTTCCATTGCTGTATAATCATGGATTGATGGGATCTGTAGTTTTCTATTGCTGGTTGCCATTCTCCCTTGCTGTATAATCATGGGCAGTTTTTCAGAATTATAAAGAAACTGCCCTAATATCATTAGTCTGTATTGTTTTAGAAAAAATATCACATGTCCCTTTTAAGAAAACATATCGGTAATTGGTATTGGCGAGTACCTGAGGGAAAATATTTGTACTTGGTCTTGAAAAAATTGTATCGGTGCATCCCTAACAGTAATGATATGTAAAAGATAGGGGGTTATTCACTAAGCTGGCGAAGGTAGCCAAGTGAATGACCGATGCGAAGTGAAGGAAGCCGAGCGCTGTTCGGCTATTCCCTTCAGCCCTGTACAGCTGAAAACAGCCGTACATCGGCTGCCTTTGGTTCCCTTCACTTCACCGAAGTGAAGAACAAGTTCGCCTCAGCTGATCCAACATCTGGATCGGCGGAGGCAAGCGTTCGGCAGTTCATTCACTGCTGTTCACCCCTATTCTCATAGGGACCGAACAGCAGTGAGTGAATAGCTCGGTTATTCTGTTCGCTACCTCAGAGGAGGTATAAAGAAGATATAAAAAAAGATATAAACAAAAGAAAAAAAAACATCGTGGGGTTCCCCCCTAAAGCCCATCGACCCGACCGCACATTCCCGTAGCTGTCAAAATGACCAATTTGACAATTGCCGCAGAATGTAAACAGTTCGACAGAGCTGGCTGTCATTCAACCGCCACATCATGTCATATCTGCTATCATTCAACCGCCACCTGTCAAACCGCTATTGAAAGGTCCCGCCCGAATGACATAAATGGGCAGAGCCAGCCGTGACATCACAGCTGGCTCCACCCATTTGTTGTCATTCAGCCGGGAACTGTCAAATTGCTATTCAAAGGTCCCGGCCAAATGACAACAAATGGGCGAAGCCAGCCGTGACATCATTCGGCTGGCCGTCACCGCTAGCTCCACCTAACTGTTTACATTCAGTGGCACCTGTCAAATAGTTCATTTTGACAGGTGCAGTTGGGTGTGTTGTGCATGTATATGTATATACTGTAAACAACTGTTGACAAAAAGCTGGTTTCTCACAATGGGAGAGTGCCTTCTAAACAGAACAGTTTTTTTGATAATGGTATGGCTGCCCTGTATTGTTTCCCCATTATTCGTATCCAGCTTACTCGCAATGGGATATTGTTATGGGGAAACTTTGTGTAAACATGCACGCCTAGGCGGATCAAGACCTAGTCAGGCTATATGGCACCATTGACAACTGATGGCAATACATGATACAACGCTGCCATCTAGAGCTGGAAAAAGTGAGATACATCGTGCATAGGATCTAATACAAATGTTGAGGGGCACCGCCCACAAGCGGGATGACAATTTTTACTAATAAAAGCCAGCAGTTTAAAAAGTGAATTAGGGACTTCAAAATGGAACTTTGATCAAGAGAGGATGTCACCATGGAACTCTGAAACAAAGGACTTTGAGAGAGAGACTGCAACAAGCAGCCATTTTCCTGCGAGCGCTTAATTGCCAAGAAGACCCATTCTTTACTGAATTTATGCAGTTTGCAACTGGAAGCTAAGTACCTTTAAGTGTGTTCTCTCTTAGAAACCATCACATGTACTAGGAAGGATAGTGTAGTGGGTGCATGTATATGTTTCTTTCTAGCAGCCTGTATGTTTGTTTTGTTTTACTTTTCCTGTAACTAAATTTGTGCACACAACATTTTGCCTAGTAAAGTACTTTAAATGCTACTGGGTCAGTTTCTTTAAGCTTTATTGCAAGAACCAGACAACCAATATAAATAAACGTTTTGCCAAGCATTACATTTGGACTCATCCTTGGGATAAGCTTTACATTTTGGGGGCTCGTCCTTGGGATTTGTAGTCCAAAGCAAAACATTGGGTCAGCTGGCTTTTGGGGGAAACCCCACGCTGTTTTTTCTTTTTTGTTTTTTATTTGTTTACATTTTGCGGAGAGAACGGTCTGTGCGGCAGACCATTCTCCCTGCTTTGGCTGTGTGTTCGGCTCAGTTGAGCCGAAGCATATGTGTTCAGCTCAGCTTAACTCTTCGGATGCTGTACAGGCTATTGTGAATAGCCAAAGCCTGGCTTAATCCTTTGGCTCATTAGTGATTAACTCCCATAATTTTACTTAGTTTATTTTAAAGTAAACTCTGATAATCAGGAAAGCGTACTAAGTGCATATGGTAAAGTGTTGCAAAGGTCTTACTTGTTTCAGCATCACCAGTTCTTCCTTCATCTGAACCTTTTCTTGATCTTGACGGTTAGCCTGGGTCTTTGCACCAACTAGTTCAATATGAAGATCACTGACTTGGTCATTAAACCCTTCACGGCCTCGCTTAGCCCTCTCTAGCTCTAGGGACAGCTCCTGTGTGCGTCGGTGAAGCTCAAGTTTCTCCTGTATGCATGGCAATATATAAAATCAGTAGATATGAAGATGAAAGGCAATACTTCTATTCCAAAGTGATACCATGCTTACCTGCATATACCTCTCTTTGTCAGACTGAGCAATTTTTAGCCTTAAGGTCAGATCTGAAACCTTTTCCTCAAACCTCATTGCTTTTGAAGACAGAAGTTCTTTTTCCTGTTAAAAAAAGAGCTGTATAACACTGGAAAATACAGATGGGGCCACATGACAGCATGTAATATTCTTTATCCAGTATCCATACCAAATTAATCTTGTTGAAGTTCATTTGAAGGCCAGAAAGCTCTTCTTGTAGGTTCTGATGTGTCCTAAGAGTGTCAGTCACCCTCTGGTTTGCTTCATTTGTTTGGCTTAGAGCCAAATGACTCCCCTGTAGACAGCAACAGTAACACCAATCTGTTAATGGGCTGATGTATGGAAGGGCATGTCACTGCAGTGGTAGCGAGTACAGAAGTGCACATTGGTACAATGTAAGCGAGCACAGATGCAGCCATCAGTGCAGTAGCAAGTAACGCAGGGGCATGTGGGAGAGTTAGTAAGAGCAGGGGGTCAGGGGTGGTGTGAAGTGATGGGACCAGAAATTATAAGGCCATGTGCCATTGCAACACAAACTCACCTGCTGTAGGGATTGCTCTGGATGTGCTTCCCGCAAGGTATGGCTGTTTTGAATGGCACTGGTATACATTTAAATGTTGATACCATACACTACCCAGAGAGCAGACCCAGCATTATTAACTGTGATGCCGGTCTCCTCTAACTTGCAGCAATCTCCACAGATACCGGAAATCAGCTGCCAACAAGGGAAGTTCCCTTACGCTAATAACCTATTTGCAGCTTATACATGTCACATGGTCTACTGGCTGGAGAAAGCCACAAACTAGGTATTAGGGATAGAGAAGACCGATCTGTCTTGCAGCCCTATAGAAGTCTATGGGGTTCTACTGTGCACACACGGGCACTGGGCAAGAGAGGACAAACCGGCTGCAAGTAACATTGTAGCAGATATCCGGTGGAGGAGGAGGGCATTGGATTAGTTTAGCACAGTGTGGGGAATATTGAAGGGGGTTAGGAAAAAACAGTCAGAAAATGCTATTTGAAGTTTTTTTCACTCTTTAAAATCAATCATATAGTAATCACATATGTGTATTTCCATAAATTGTATGAAGATTGTTTTAACAAAAAAAAGCTTCAAATTTCATAAACTCTACACTGCTTTATAAGATTATTGCTAAGATGTCAAACACATAATAAAGCAGCACAGCTTTAAAAAGCCGGAAGTTTTTTTTAAACATACTGTCTGCTATTTTGAGAAGCCCCCTCCAAAGCCCTCATAGTCTACACATCACGTGGCCAGCAGAACAGATCAAAATATTAAAGCCTCCTTCACACTACGACATAACATACATAGCATACATGTTAGTATTAAGTATTTTGTTCGTTTGCGTGTGTTGCATTAGGGCAGCAAGTCTATCAAAATTGGGGAACACATGGCAATGTAAGAAAAAACTCACCGGCACCATTTTTAAAAAAATGAAAGCGCACCACAATACAAGGTGTGTGTGCTGCAATGCAAGACCATTCACACCTACTGTACTTGTGCATTGGGGTGCCATCTTAAATAAATTGCACCAGAAGGCACCACAGAGTGTTACTGTGTGTCTAGGTAATGTGCTGTAAAACAGACATTACTGCAATAAAAAGGCCTGAAGGAGAGCTAGCTATAATTTTAGATAATTTAACTCTAATGAACCCTCTTCCCCATGCTATCTAAACCCCCTTGCACATTTCTTAGACCAGCGGGCAATGTGGTCCAGGAGCCTGCACCTCCTGGACAGCTTTTGCATTTAGGTCTATAAAGAACACATTGGGGGAAATTTAGCAAAACTGGAGCAGAGATAATCTGGAGCAGTTGTCCATGGCAACCAATCAGCATCTCTCTTCGGTATGATCAGGCAAATAAGACAGAGAAGCTGATTGGCTGTTGTGCAAATCTGCTTCAGATTTTGTCTGCTACAGTTTTGATAAATTCCCCCCATTGTCTCTGGCACACTGCACCCTGACTTTGCATCAACCTACCACCCAGCACCCCTTCCACTGAACCCCTGACTCTGAACTTTCCTGAAACTGCACCCAAACACCCCAGACATTTTTAGACACCCAGCACCTCCCTTCCACCCAGTAACGATGCCACTGCATTATCCACCACTGCTCCCTCTGTCCCCGCTCCCCCTTGTCACCTTTGGACATGCAGAGTGGAGGAGAAACGGAGCCTTGACACTCTGTCAACTTGGCCTTTGGCTTCACCTACTTCTTCCTCCCTCTGGTGATATCACCTCCTTCCTGGTGCAGGTTGTAGATGCAGATACTATCCCAGAAGTTTAGAAAAATTTGCACAAAATACCGGAAGACCTGGGAGAGGACCCTCAAAATGAGGTGTGTAAAGGACTATAAGAATAAGGGTGAATTAAATGAATGACATCCATCTATCAGTTGCCACACCTAATATAGTATGCTAGAATGCAATGGATATATTTACTTCTCCATGTCAATGTAAACAAAAAACAATATGCAGCTTATATGTGAAGAGGGAAGTGCTTTGTGTTAATACACACAGTGTGGTAAAGTGTGCTTAACTTTTCAAATAGGACACTTTATTAAAGTTCTCATGTAAGTACATCAAAAGTATTATGTATTAGACACATCTGTTTACCTCTCGGAATGTTCTGAGCTCCTCCACAGCTTGGCTTTTTTCTGCCTCAAGGACTTTGACTCGATTTCGAAAGTAGATTAAGTTTTCTCTGGCTGTCTTTAATTCACGATTCGTGTCTTCATTCCCCTACACATATTAAGCTTTAAATTATTCCTTAATTGTGCATATATGCAATCTTTAGACCTGATCTGTGTACTACATTAGGAATAACTCAATACAAAAATGATAAAAACCATGATCAGCATAAGTCATCTGGTAATATCTTGCGTCATAGGGGTTAGCACCTGGCTAGGCATTGCAAGATACTGAAAACTGTGAAGTGCTGAATAATGCTGCTGCTTAGAAGAAGAAACTAGTAGTAGCAGGTTCAGGAGAAACTACCATACTGTGTCTAACTGTTTGCGCAAAATTGGGAAAAGAAATAAGTATCTCAATTTTTAACTAATTCTTACCATGGGTGTTTTCTGATACATGAACTCATTGGTATAGTTGAAATTTTCTAAACTAGATTTTGCCAACATTACTTCCATCTCCAAATTGATAATCCTGGAGATAAAAATATTTGTCATAAAACAATGTCAGATTTAGACCTAAAAAGATGAATTAAGTAATTTTCTGCCCTGTTCTAAGCATTTTCAAAACAATACTTGCACTATATTTTTTGCAGATATTAATTCAGATTTCCTGGCACTCTTTATGACAGCATAACACGGGTTTGCTCAGCCCCCTTGAACCCTACAGGATTACCTGACTAGCTAATCAAAAGAGAGCGTAGACCCCAACCCAGGGTTCTAAGTTTGGCCTCATTCCAGGATCACCTCACAGAGTACCCCTACCATCTCCCACCCTGGTTCAATAACTCAAAGGTGGATGACACCAATGGTGTGTGGTAAATCCTACATATTGGGTGTACCCTCAGGTGCTGAGTTCTTTTTACCACAGTGACACAAATTGCCCTCTGTTCTGGAAGGTAACTTGTTTCTGTCTGGCATCCTTTTTACTTTTATTACTCATGCTCTTTTTCCCTGTGCGTTCTTTACACATGGTAGGTTGGTTTCTAATTTGCTAATGCCTTTACAACTAAAGTATGATTGTGTATACCCAGTTCTAGCATCAGGTCTTTCATCTACAGTTGTAGATACGATTTACTTTTGTGGAAGGGTTTCGTAGCTCCATTCCTTCTGGTGGCTGACATTCTGTCATTTCTGCAGTCTGCCTTGGACAAGGGGATAAGCTACAATACCATCGGAGGGCAAGTTTCAGTCTTACGAGATCTTACTAGGATGAAATGGGTTGACAATTCTCTAGCGCGATAATTTCTTCAAGATGCTGTCACGTTGATGCTACCTTTGAATCCCCTTTTTCCTTCCTTGGACTTGCCTTGGCCCTTATTGCTATAGTGAAGCTTCCTTATCTGTCTGAGACTTGTTCTATCAAACTGCAGACTTGACAGCAATCACCTCAGCTAGGAGGATGTCTAGATGTCTAAGATTCAGGTTTGATCAGCTAAAGGGATCTTACTGCACGATTTTTCCAAATAAAGTTCCTCTGTGGCCATCTCTGGGATTTTGGTATAAACGGTCTTCTTAATTGGGAGTCCATTCTGCCAGCTCTATATTTGTCTGTTCTAACAGATATGCAACTTTAGCATCCTGGACATGGTCCGTCTGATTTCTACATACCTGGATAGAACAAAAAAATTCACAACAGACATGAACCTCTTTGTCTATTCAAAGGGCCCCCGAAAAGGGAAAAGTTGGTCCGAAGGTGATTGCTTCATAGATCTTGAAAGCAATTAGTAATGCTTATTCCTTAAAGAACTTTCCTTTACCACCAAAAGTTAAAGCACATTTTATGAGAGGGCTTTGCAGGCTAAAGTCTCTACGTAAGTCATCTGCAGGGCAGCTAGGTGGAATTTAGTCAACACTTTCATCAGACATTATAAACTTAATATTATGCCCTGCCTTTTCTCAACACTAAAAGGTTTTTGCAGTAGTATTATGTATCTGCATTTTTTTCCCTTTTCTTTTTTGGCATTGCTAATTACATCCTAGGGTATGATTTCATGAGGACTGCCAGGGACATGGAAAATAATTTTTCAGATACTTACCACAATTTTCCTTTCCTGGCAATTTCTCATGACAGCATAGTATCCTTCCTAGTGTCCTGTCCTGAGTATTTTAGGTGGAACGCTGAGATGGGGTTTACTCTCCCTTTTTATTAGCTAGTTAGGTGGACCCCGGGGGGGATGTGGATCAAGGGGGCGGAGCTCACGCATGGTATGTTGTCATGAGGAGCAGCCAGGAAAGAAAAACTGTATGCCTGTGTCATATTATTATTATTTTGTTATATACTGTGATATATTTATTTTATTATAATATACAAAAAAGGCACTAAAGTGTTTTAATAAAAAAACTCACCTGTCTTGCAGTTCTCCTCGTTGTTTCTTGTCTTCAAAACGGGACACTTCAAGCCAACCTTTCTCTTTTTCTAGCTGAGAAATGGAGGCTTCAAGTTGCTAGCCAATAAAATAAAGGGTTTGAAATTAGCCATAATGAACAAGAAAACATTGTGCTTTACCAAAATGCCAGATGAAAGAACTGTCACAACTGTCTTTTAGCAACTAATCAGATTAAAATTTACACTACAAAGTGAAAGCTGGCAAATTGAAGTTTAAAGAAGCTGTGACACTGGACCATTATTTTCAACATATGTACATATAACGCATTTAAATGTAGTTTAGGCACATTATTAACGATTCAAGGTCTCCTTTGTGTAGACATCTTTACCCTGAATGGTGCAATATAACGATCTGAAACAGCTATTCCATCAAACACTTTATAAAGAACACAACAGCTATATGCATTCATCAGTTGAGGTAGACTGAATTTTAAACCACTAACCAGCATTATTTCTACTTATTAGATATGATAGTTTGTTAAAAAAAAAAAAACATTCAAAAAAAGGAAAGCATTTTTATAGAAGCATGGGGTAGTAAAAACACAAATGGCAAAGTGTATTTTATAAAGGAAAGCCACACCAGGGGATACTCTGCAAACTGTTGGCTCAATTCACTAAGCATCAATAATTGTTATGCACCATAATCACTGTTATTTTCAACAAAGAAAGGCCATGAGACTTGAAAACTACCATTGCTATGTCAAATAACAAATATATTATAGACAATCCTAGAACTGACCTTTCAGTACAGCTCAAACTGGCTATACAGGTTAAACACTAATTGTACATTTTCTTTACAATCTCTGTAAGATTTACTAACAACCATATTGTCTAAAGTCCTATATAAAAAATGAATATCCAGTAAAGTAGGCCTTTTTTTTTTGTGTGTGTATTAGGGAACTACAGTCTCCTTTAGGGTTACCAGTTGCTGGAAACTCCAAAGGAGATGTGGCCAGCTTTAGGACAGGGCTCATTCATATAGCTTTTAAATAGTGCATACTGTGCAGTTTTATAAGAAATTCCAGCACAATTTTGCCCTTGATGACAGTTTCTGGCACTCATTGAGCTGCCTCATTCAGTTGTGTAGAAAAAAAATCTAGCAAATAGAGAAAATATTTGGAAAAACTACAATAAACAAATGCACTATACACTTAAATGTTTCATTCATAAGTATGAGATATTTGAATTTCTGGGCTGAAGTATTTATTGAAAGATTAGAGCTAAAATGGTTTATTCTGCACACAACTTGTGCCTGTGTCTGTGCATGCTATGACTAACATCATATAACCTGGATATGATACTAATTTTCTTACTTTCTGCTTTAGGGCAAGTAGCTCTGTTTTTGCCCGGCTCATTTCCAGCTCTTTATCCCGCATTCTGATTTCCTCTGATTGCTCCTCCAGTTTTCCTTGAGTCTCCCTCAAGCGCTGTACAAGATCTACACGTTTCTGGGCACTTTCTGAGAGAGATGCCCTGAGGTCCATTTCTGACCCACTCCATCCCCTACGGGTCATGGATAGCTCCAAGACTGACTCTTCTGGAGACAATGTGGAAAGGCGAGACAAAGAATTTCTCCTTGAAATGGTAGGGCTGGATAGATTTCTGGCAAAATCTGTATTGGTTGGCAGCTTACTGGAATTAGAGACAGATAGAACAACAACAAACTACAGAAAGCACAATTTTATACACAGCAATAAATAAGATGAAGGTTTACTGAAAAATATAATGCCGCACAGAAACTATAAAGGCCATCTGTAAGCTACTAGTAAATATATATCTACTAGTGATGTACTGATTACCATATTTTCCAGACCGAGCACGAATACCGATACTTTTCCTCAAGTACTTACAGATACCAATTACCAATACCTTTGTTTTTAGTGTCATGTGACAGTTTTTCTAAAACAATTCAGACTAATGTTTTTAGGACAGTAGTGGAGTGCCAGGGCCCGGTACCGCTGCAACCCTGGTAGTTTTGCCACTGACTCCAAGCTGTAGAGGGACTACAAATCTCAGCAATACATTATATAGCAATCTAGAATACCACCAGCTATAGAGGAGTACAAATCTCAGCAATACGTTATACAGCAATGCAGAATGGCACCAGCTTTAGAGGACTACAAATCCCAGCAAAGCATTATACAGTAATGCAGAATAAGGCAGCTGCTTCAATTTGAATAATTAAAGCGCCGGTGTTGGTGTTTGGTATTGGAGCATTCGCATTAGTATGCATCACTAATAGCCACATTAAAAAAACAATCATAGCAAAAATGTATTCTAGTTAGGCAGTCTTTTAAACCAATAGTAAACAAATAAAGGAAACATCACATTCAATGGCAAATAGTGTGTTCACTTTGGATGGGAATTGGCACTTTGCACAGGATGTTTCCCCTTATTTTAGTGAATGAAGTGAAGCTCTACTGACTTCCATCCCTCAATCGTTTTAAATTCCTTGCACATAATTGAGTATTCTTTGCAAAGTGAATTTTTACCACATTCGCCAGGCTAAGGAAAACTTTTCCTGCAATGTGTAAATTCCCTTGCAGAGTGAACAGCCGATTTGCCTCAACCTCAATGTATGTGCAGAGAATGTCACATTAGAACACAATTATTGGATATTATCCCGGGTAGATAGGGGAAGAATGGGTATCCTGTGGTGTCATGGGGTGAGGAAGGGATGTCCTGTGGTGTCATGGGGGTGAGGAAGGGGTATCCTGTGGTGACATGGGGGCAAGGAAGGGGTATCCTGTGGTGTCATGGAGGCGAGGAAGGGGTATCCTGCAGTGTCATGGAGGCGAGGAAGGCGTATCCTGTGGTGTCATGGGGGCAAGGAAGGGGTATCCTGTGGTGTCATGGGATGAGAAAGGGTATCCTTTGGTGTTATGGAGGCCAGGAAGGGGTATCCTGTACTGTCATGGGGGCAAGGAAGAGGTATCCTGAGGTGTCATGGGGGTGAGAAAGGATATCCTGTGGTGTCATGAAGGCAAAGAAGGGGTATCCTGTGGTGTCATGGAGGTGATGAAGGGGTATCCTGTGGTGTCATGGAGGTGATGAAGGGGTATCCTGTCGTGACATGGGGGGTGTGGGAAGGGTATCCTGTGGTGTCATGGAGGTGAAGGAGGGTATCCTGTGGTGTCATGGGGGTGAGGAAAGTGTATCCTGTGATGCTATGGGGTGCAATATCCTGTGGTGTTACTGATGAGGAGGGGGTATCCTGTGGTGTCACGGGAGTGAGGTGGAAGTTCTGTGTTTTCATAAGTGGGGGATAAGGTGCAGGGGGGTATCCTGTGGTGTCTCTCCACACTCTTCTGGCTGTCTCTCCTCCCTCTTTCTCCTGGTTGTCTCTCCTCGCTCTCTCTCCTGGTGGTCAGGCCTTGCTCTTTCTCCTAGCTGTCTCTTCTTGCTCACTCGCCTGGCTGTCTCTTCTCCCTCTCTCTCCTGGCTGTCTCTCCTCGCTCTCTCTCCTGGTGGTCAGGCCTTGCTCTTTCTCCTAGCTGTCTCTTCTTGCTCACTCGCCTGGCTGTCTCTTCTCCCTCTCTCTCCTGGCTGTCTCTCCTCGCTCTCTCTCCTGGTGGTCAGGCCTTGCTCTTTCTCCTAGCTGTCTCTTCTTGCTCACTCGCCTGGCTGTCTCTTCTCCCTCTCTCTCCTGGCTGTCTCTCCTCGCTCTCTCTCCTGGTGGTCAGGCCTTGCTCTTTCTCCTAGCTGTCTCTTCTTGCTCACTCGCCTGGCTGTCTCTTCTCCCTCTCTCTCCTGGCTGTCTCTCCTTGCTCATTCCCTTGGCTGTCTCTTCTCACTCTCTATCCTGGCTGTCTCTCATCTCACGCTCTCTCCTGGCTGTCTTTCCTCACACTCCTGGCTGTCTCTCCTCACTCTCTCCCCTGGCTGTCTCTCCTCGCTCTCTCCTGGCTGTCTTTCCTCACACTCCTGGCTCTCTTCTCACTCTCTCCCCTGGCTGTCTCTCCTGGCTGTCTCTCCTCTGACTCCTTGCTCTCCCGGCTGTCTCCTTGCTCTCCTGGCTGTCTCTCCTCACTCTCTCTCCTGGCTGTCTCGCTTCTCACTGTCTCTCCTTGCTCTCTTGGCTGTGTCTCCTCGCTCCCCAGGCTGTCTCTCCTGGCTCTATCTCTCTTGGCTGTCTCTCTCTCCTCGCTCTCTTTTCTGGCTGTCTCTCCTCATTCTCTATCCTGGCCATCTCTCCTCATTCTCTCTCCTGTATATTTGCCAAAAAAATTGTTGTGGGCTGCTAGCGTGTTCGGGTTTTCACTTCAAGAAAAGGTGGCAATCCATACAGCAACACTTGCCACTTTCATTCCTCACATAACAGCCACAGTCATCTGTGCCTAGCAAGCTTCAATTGAGCATAGCTGCAGCTTTCCAGGCCTCCCATCCATTCAGGAAGCCAGACGGGTGCATCCCTGCTGGAACACGGAAGGGACAGTTGAAGAGATGGGAATCCAGGATGCCTCAAGTCTATGTATGTGAAAAATAATAAATATATTATGACCACCCCATCAGTACTTCGTTGGGCCACGAGATGACTCCACGAATGACTTTGTTGGGCCGCCTCGTGACTCCACGAGATGTTGAAAGGTGATGCGAGGAATCTGACACTGTTGCCCTTCTGTTGTCTTGTACCAGAATTGCCACTCTCCATTCTGCCCTAACATTCACAAGTCGCTGACGGCCACAATTGGCACGTTCAGACCCAGATTTTTGGCTGACAGTCCAGTCTTTAAATGCTTTAACAACAGCTGCTCTTGAACATTTAACAAATTCTGCTGTTTTGCTGATACTCGCTCCATGGCTCCGAGCGCCAACAATCATCCCACGTTCAAAGGCTGTTAAATCGCGTTGTTTACCCATATCTTCAGAAAAAAATCACTTCTACTGTCGTGGTAAACAACCTGCTTCCCTATTTATAATGGTCTGGCCCTCTAGCAACTTCAGCGCAAAATTATAGCTAATTATATATATTTGTATGTGTGTTTGTACTTTTGTGTGCACATCCTAATGCAATAGGCTGTGCATGCCTACGTGTTTAGACAAACAAGCCACTTTCATTTTGCAGAAAACACAGCAGCCAACATTGGATTGCAGTCATTCTGCAGCTTAATATGGACACAAACATGCACAATCATTTTGGCCAAGCATGCATGTTTAGGCATTGAGAAGACACCTATGGTGTTTTCCCTTTCTCTTTGAAACAATAGTGAGTGTCTGGGAAAATCTATTTTGATACGATCATTTGTTGCCAAAGTTATTTCCTGATTCAACCATAATCGGCCAGAACAAGTATCACTCTTGTGACTTTGGCTGGCCTAAAGGAAATGAAGAGTAATGTGCTGTAATTGTGACTGAATTCATGAATTCATTTTTATGTCACTTTGCGGCTTAATCAACAAAGGATTGTCCCTTGTGGTTACATTTAGAGATCATCAGTCAACAACTTTAATAAACATAACTGGAGGAATACAAGAAGGCTTTTACTGTTTGCACACATGTAACCTCTCTATTTACAGTTTAGATGTTTGCTTCATTGTTCACTGTACCTGTAACATTCCAAGGAGTGGATGCCACGCAGGGGACTGACAGATCTTGCTCTGTCTGTATGCCGTGGACTCATAGGCCCTCTAGGGTAATCTTTCCACTGACCCGTCCAGTTTTCTGTTTCTATGTGCCCAGCTGCCTTTTGGGGAATTATTCAGGCAAGATATTACAAAAACAAGTAATCAAAAGCTACAGCTATCAAAACCATCTAAACAACACTATAAAGAGATCATTTATCAGATCCTACAAACACAAATGAAATATGCATGAAAAAATGTGACTGTTTATTCTTAAACCACCGAAAGACATTAGATGGTGGCCCTAAGAAGCATACAATTTTTTCTTACAGAAAACAGACTGACATCACCATAAAATATGATCTATGGAACTAAAACATTTACTTTGTTTTCCAGTGCACTTAAAAGATTTAGAAGGTTATTCACAAAGCTGCCGAAGGCAGCCGAGTGAATAACCGACCCGAAGTGAAGTGAGCCGAACGCTGTTCAGCTATTCACTTCAGGCTTGTACAGCTGATTTCCGAAGTGCAGAAGGAGTTCGACTCATATCTCCTATCTAGAGGCAGAGCCAGCTGTGCCCGCCCCCTCCTCATCCGTTTCTCCAGTCAGCGCTGGAGGATCGGAGAGGGGAGGGAATCCCTGCGGGGTACGGTAACTGACAGTCAATGATCTCGAACAACGTGATCACTCACCTCATAGTTCTGCTTTAAGTGCAGACAAAAATAAAATAAAACGGTAAAAAAAGTAAAAAAATAATAAAATAAATATAAATTTAAAAAAATGAAAAAAGTTATAAAAAAGTAAAAAATAAATAAATATACATAAATCAAAATGAAAAAAAGTAAAAAAAAATAAAAAAAAATAAAACCAACCCAGCCGTCCCCACCATCTGCATAAAAAGAAACGCAAGGGTAGGGCATTGTGTGTGTGTGTGCATGCTGAGGGCTGCCCCCATTCCACAGTATGCCATATTGTGGTAGCCAGGTGCTCTTTATCACGCACAATGTGCATTACAGGTTAAGTTCACTTTCCCACGTAATTTGGGGAAAATGGAATTAACCACTGAAATCTGAACCATCCCCCCCGCTATATTAAACTTTTAGGAAACGGTCCTTCCCTTCAGCCCATACGGGTGTACTATCTGTGCCCCATACTGCCATCTAGAACAAGTATCTTGTTGCACTCCTTACTAGGTAGAAATACCTGATATACAGGTGGGTGCTTGCAGCGACCACAGATGGCACCGTGAAAAAACTGAATATATAGAGAAATGTCACTAGCACACCAATGATCAATTAAATAAGTGAAAGTCCATTTATTGAAGGAACATCGCCATTCAAAAACATTTTTTGAATGGCGGTGTTCCTTCAATAAATGGACTTTTACTTATTTAATTGATCATTGGTGTGCTGGTGAAATGTCTCCATATTGCCATCTGGCGTAGCCCTGTGCTATGGATTTTGCTCACAAATAGTGAGCACTTGTTAGTCAGTGCAGTTAGGTGACTGCGCTGACCAATGAGAGGCGCTTCTTAGCATGGCTAAATACGGTTTTGGTAAAAAAATACATTTTTGTATGACAAGTAGATTGTCATGAGGGAGAAGTAGATTGGGCCCCCGCTTTAGTCCTTGGATAAGTAGTTTTTTTTTTAAATTCCACTACACACCGTCCCACATCCACAAATTCGTCCCCTCTCATTCCCCTCAATGTTTTAGAAAGTGTGGACTTATAGGCACTATGAAACATATTTGGTGGGACTGTCCTAGGGCTAAACGTTTCTGGACCCAAATTTATGCTCTAATTAATACTATATTGAAGTGTAATCTGATCAAAAATCCGTGGGAAGCACTTCTACATAAGCCCATAAACTGGTTTGCACAAGGATCAACAATGCTTGATTTCCAACATATTCATGGCTGCTAAGCAGACAATTGCTAGATCCTGGAAATCCCCTAAACTTAGTTATGTGGAGGTTAAAAAACGCATCACAGGTGTGCTGATAAATGAACAATTGACAGCTATCTTGGATGATTCCTACACTAAATTCGAGAAAATTTGGGAACCTTGGATCACCTTTGATAGTTCGTTGAATTTTGACCCAGACCTTCAGCGGATTTGATGGGTTATGTGTATCCCCTGCGATTATAGTTAGTACTTATTTAGTATTGAATTTAAACGCTGCCCTCTATTTTTGGTTCAATGGTTTACTCTAGGGATGTCCCGATACCGATGCTAGCATCGGAATCGGGCCCGATACAAGGCATTTTGACAAGTACTTGTACTTGTCAAAATGCCCCGATGCCTAGCGCCGAAGCTTGCGTTGTTTTTTTTTTTCCTTACTTACCTCACCGAGCGTCGCGTCACTGCTACGTCACTGCTCTCTCCGGCACAGTGAGTGAGGGCGGGGGGGGGAACACTATTATGCTGCAAAGTTTATTTATAAATGTATTCTCTGCACTGTATGAGCAGTATATATTCTATATGTACTACATATAGAGTATATATAGAGTACACACTGCTCATACAGTGCAGACAATACATTTACAATTATACTTTGCTAACATGAATGGATTAAATGTTCTATATGTTGCCCTGTACTATGGATCATTTAATCCATTCATGTTAGCAGAGGATAATTGTAAATGTATTGTTGCAGGCACTCTATATGTACAAGCACTATATACGACATATAGAATGCACTGCAACAATAGATTTACAATTATCCTCTGCTAATATGAATGGGTTAAATGATCCATAGTACATGATATGTAGCCCTGTACTACAGATCATTTAACCCATTCAAGTTAGCAGTGCAGAATTGTATATCTATATGTACTGTACATATACAGCACAAATGTCCCGTACATTGCAGCATTATATTTAGAATGATCCCCTGCTAACATGAATGGGTTAAATGATCCGTAGTACAACTACATGTTATGTACTATTATGTACTATGGATCATGATTTAACCTATGCATGTTAGCAGGGGATAATTGTAACTCTATTACTGCAGTGTACTGGACGTATGTGCTGTATATGTATTATGAATCATGATTTAACCTATTCATGTTAGCAGGGCAGAATTGTAAGCGCCTCCCACAAGCTGAGCACCGAGATGCGATGAAGCGATGAAGCGATCCTGCCCAGCGCCGACTACGAGAGGCACCGCGTGAGGCAACAGGGATCGGCGTGAAACTGTGAGTGAGGGAAGCTGGGACGGGGCTGGCTGTAAATCTATTGCTATAGTGTACTGGACGTGTGTAATGTATATGTAGTACATATATACAGCACATACCTCCACTACACTCCAGCAATAGAGTTACAATTCCCCGCTGCTAACATGAATAGGTTAAATCATGATCCATAGTACAGAACATGTAGTTGTACTATGGATCATTTAAAGTCACCTGTAATTGGTATCGGCAAGTACATGAGGGGAAGTACTTGTACTTGGGCCTGAAAAAGTGGCATCGGGACATCCCTAGTTTACTCTATTACTACTGTAATGATATTGATATGATTCCCTTTATGTCTTCCAGGGTTGTTCATTCCTAAATATTATATTTTATCGTATGTAATTCCTACATTATTTTCTGCTTTCTTTGTCTATACCTTTGTAGTTATTCAAGTATAGTTTATGTTTTCTTGTAATGTCTATTTGAAACTAATAAAACTTTTTGTGAAAAAAAAATAAAAAATTCCACATCCTTGAATGCATTTTAATAATGATAGCTCTAGATTTATAAATATTGAAAATTACTTCTGAAATTATTTTGACATATGAGATTTTAGAACCTGAGTTTACATATGCTTTAGAGTTGTTTAGCCTGGATGAGGTAACCTGTTAAATTTTGTTGGGGAATCTGTTAGAAAAAAATCTTCTGTATATGTGTATGGCCAGCTTTAGATTTAAAAAAAACAAGAATAACAATATATTGATTATGAATAAGTCTCACCGCAATGTTCTTCTCCAGCTCTGAGAGACCAAAAGGTCTTGGTGATTCCAGCCCATGCCTGCAGCTGCCTAGGTCTCTGGAGGTCAACCGAGGAGACCTCCTACCATTATCCAGATGGTGCTGAAAGTTCTCTATGGAACCATAACCATAGCGTGAAGGCAAACTGACATATCCATTGTTTGCCCGGTACGACATTTGTTACAAAGTTAAAAAAAAACAAGAATAAGCAAAAATGATGCAGAGATGGCTAAGCAACTTTAATGGCCATTGCGCTTAGTTCAGGAGTATAAGTCTGAGATGTAAAATAAAGAACCTGTAAAAATAAAGTAAAATAAAATGAAGATCAGATAATATACTATATATCCATTTGTCACTATCACTATTCTTAGTCTTATTATTATCCATACAGAGTACAATCCTTGCTTAAAGTGGACCTTGTGTAGAAACATTATATACTACCAGGATCATATTTGTTGCTCACTTTTAAACATTTTCAAAATGTGTAAACAAAGATTCCAGTCTTATGTTCCTGTTAAGGTGCCCATACACCTTACAATTATCTGCAGATTTTCTGTGGTCAGATGGAAAAAGTGCAACAGATTGGCCCAGGTGGAGATTACTCCATCCACACAGTTAAGTGTAGATGGAGGAATCTGTTGCACCTTTTCCATCTGACAGGTGTATGGCCAGCTTAAGAAAGAACTATGCTTCGATCCACTTCATGCTTCTGATTCATGCTGGAATTGAATAAATACCCAGATGTTAAGGCAGCCCAGTTGCAGTTTACTGGTTCTGTGCTTTGCAATGTGAGTGACCTCTCTTCCAACCATCTTAGTGTAGCACAGATTTCCACCTTACGAGACTTTAGATATAAGGAAGACAAGATCTTGAAGAGTTTTGCCTGCTCATTGCACATTCGAATATGGCTGCTTCATAAGACAGTCTTTTTTCCTGTCCTTGACTTTGGCACAACCCATTCAGCTATTTGCCAAAAATGTTTATACGTTACTTTTTTATCTTAATTAGGATCAGGCATAGGCATGAAGGCCTAGATGTCAGTTATAAAGTAGCTTTATTCTGGGCACTCAGAATGTGACAGGGTCATTTGTTGCTGGCATAACGTTTTCGGGTTTATCTTCTGGTGTGTGGTCATATTTAAAGGCAGATGTGTAATGTATTTCATACAGCTATCCCTGGTAATAACTGTTTTCTGATACCTGACTTTTTCCTACTGTTCTGCCCATTTCAGGTTGGTTTCTAAAGTCACTTTGCAGGACCACATGTAGAACAGAGAACATACTGAGGGGGATTTATCAAAACTGAAGCAGACAAAACCTGGAGCCATTGCCCAGGACAACCAATCAGCTTATCTTTTCAGTCTGTTCAGTTAAGATTTGAAAATGAAACAGAGAAGCCGATTGGCTGCCATGCACAGCTGCTCCAGTCTTGATAGATTCCCCTCACTGTATTTCTGTCCATTCAGCTATAAATGCACCACTTGAAGTGTTGGACATCTCTATTTTCATGTCTCTGGCAGTGGGTTGCTTAATTTTTTTCTAATGGGAGTTCCTTTTCTAGTTTTGTGGGTTCCTATGTGGGGTTCGGATTTTCGCTGCCAAATGCCTGGTGATTTTCTTGCAACCATTTTTCAATCGTTTATCTTAATCTCTGTAGCTATAATTTACTTATCTTGCTCCATTGTTTCTTTGTTAAAGGGTAACAATATTTTTTTTAATGTTTTTAGATATACATAAAAAACAGATCAAGTTTGATGTAAATGACCTAATCAAAGTGTGTTAATTTTTTAACACACCCTGTTAATCTTGTTTCTGTGCACAGTTTGTAATTATATATTTCCGTAGGGGCTGCCATAATAATTGAGTTTTGCTTTTCTTCTTGTCTTGTCGGAAGTCTTACAGACAGCAACCGAAAACAATAGACTCTATATAGTTTGTAATCACATGGCACATCCATAATGCTCTAGGTAGCCTGAAACCATGTGATCTTAGCCTAGGGTAAGCTATGCTTGTGAGGTGTTTTTTTTTTTCATGCATGGCAAGCAAGATGCACTTTACTTACTTTACTTAAAATATGTGATTTGGTAATGCTGACATGTTGTTTTTTATGTAGTGTTAACTTTAAAAATGGGTCCTTTTCAAGGCGCTTTACCCTATGTTATACCGTGTTTCCCCGAAAATAAGACACCGTCTTATTTTTATTTTTTTTGCACGAAATAAGACACTAGGTCTTATTTTCAGGGAAGGTCTTATATTACAGAAATCCCTGAAGATAGTGCTAGGTCTTATTTTCAGGGAAGGTCTTATATTACAGAAATCCCTGAAGATAGTGCTAGGTCTTATTTTCAGGGAAGGTCTTATATTACAGAAATCCCTGAAGATAGTGCTAGGTCTTATTTTCAGGGAAGGTCTTATATTACAGAAATCCCTGAAGATAGTGCTAGGTCTTATTTTCAGGGAAGGTCTTATATTACAGAAATCCCTGAAGATAGTGCTAGGTCTTATTTTCAGGGAAGGTCTTATATTACAGAAATCCCTGAAGATAGTGCTAGGTCTTATTTTCGGGGTAGGTCTTACTTTCGGGGAAACACGGTTCATGTATTTCCTTCAGTGTTGTGCCCTGCATTATCAGTCCACCAAAGTAAGAGTAATGAAAAAGGATATTGCATGGGGGATCATCTATTTTTCACTGTGTGTAATAAATGTAATGTATTAAAGCGAAATGGGACAGTATTTAGTATTAAGATTGTATATTGTAATCAGAATATAAGATTGTCTTTTTAATAAGAGAGTGTAGAGACGTGTCCCCTGCACTCCTTTCAGCATCTATAACCTGTAGCAGATGTGGAGGTCGTAGTGATGAACACTGATTCAAGCTTGAGAATGTAGTAGATCACCAGCACACAAAAGATATTGTTTTCAAATCTTTGTATACATTTATTGATGTATAGCGTCACATATACCAGATAGCCAACGTTTCGGGGCCACACAAGGTCCCTTCATTAGGTCACTATGTCGCCCTGATGAAGGGACCCTGCGTGCAGGCCCGGATTCCCCACAAGGCCACCGAGGCCAGGCCTCGGGGCGGCAGGGCGCAGAGGGGTAGCAGCGGTGTGGAATTCCCTGATGCCCAGAACATAAAGTTCCGGGCGCCGGGCGGTAAGTTGCCTTCTACATTTAGTCCTGCTTTGGGAAGGCAGGACTAAATGTAGTGTGGGGAAGCCGCTTGTTCGTTTATAAGTGATTGCGGCGATGTCACCGCGATCACGTGTAAAATGTGTGCAGCCTGTCCGTCCTCCCCGCGCACCTACCTCTCTCCTCTGGTTCCGTCCTCCCCCAGCCGGCGAGTCTCTTCTCACTGGCCGCTGATGCACAGAGCAGAACAGCAGGGTAAAACTAACCCTGCCGCTCCGTGTATACAGTGAGAGGGGAGAGCCGTCTTCCCATCTCAGCTGTCACAGGAGTTATAGCACTGTGCTGTGCTAGAACTCCTGTATTGGAGGTGACAAGGTCAATAAAGAGAACCTGTCACCTCCAGAGGCTATCACACAGGGGCTTGTTAGCTAGCTCCTGTGTGATAGCAATAAAGTTAAGTGAAAAATGTTTTTTATAACATTTTGAAAAATAATAAGAAATAATAATTAAATTAAATAAAACGGTGATTAAAAAGTAAAAAATAATAAGAAAACAATTATTACAAAATAAGAAAATAATTATAAAAAATAAATAAACAATAACAAGATTTACAAAAATTATGAAAAATAAAAAAGTAAACGATAAGCTAAAAATTTAAAAAAGTCAAGAAAAATACGTGGTCCCAAAACATTAGCTATCTGATATATGTGACGCTATACATCAATAAATGTATACAAAGATTTGAAAACAATAACTGTTGTGTGCTGATCTATTACATTTTCAAATTTTTAATTAGAAAAACATTTTAGGGCACCAAGTTTGAAAAAAAAATTAAAAATGCAATTTACATAAGAGAAACCGGCGAAGTGACAAAATGGGGTCTGCAATTGGTGACCTCCTTCTGAAAATGTTATTGGACTGACTATTTCACTGACCACTTTCACATTCACTAACAAGTATGTTGATGAGGAAAGCCAGCGAAAGGCCATAGGTCCTTATAGCCATACTTGTTTCAGGTCAGTAACTTACAGTACTGAAACAACAGGATCAGCAAGATGGCCAATCAACTAACATTTCCAGGTTAGAAATGGCAGACTCAGTGTGGCTTCATACCTATGCACTATGAAAACGTGGAAAACTATGCGTTACTGCAATGTTTACGGTGACATTTAGGCAAGTGGAAATAGATGGAAGGGAGAAGATGGAAATAACGACTGGATCTCTTATGATCATGCAGTGTTGTTGCCTTTCTGTTCGCCTTACATCCATATTGGCTCCATAGAAGGGTGGCAGGAAGGGGTTGGTTACAGTGCAATCATCAGAGACCTAGTCAATATTTCCACAAAAGAGCAACATGTTTTTTTGAGGAACAGGCGCACTTCAAGCATAGTGTACTACAGTGCATGACAACAAGATACTAAAAGTAAAGAAAAACATATGATATTAATATATCAGATCCAGGCAGGCATATGAAAATGTTCTGAAATATGAATAGTAAGAGAACAAAAATGAGTGGTTGGAATTAGTAAATCAATTTGTAGTGATAAGCAATGCTCAAGCACGTATAGAAATTCTGGGGTTGTCTACCTAACAACCCAGGAGTTGCAGGCTGTCCACTACTCTTTCACCCAGATTTTCTTCGGATACACTGTAGAGCTAATTCTCCTGGAGATCACTGTCACTGAGACAGAGGGAAAATTCTAAATGTTAGAGTAAGGGTAAGCCTTCTAATGGGGACACCTACTCCAGTGACAGCTGCCTAAGACAGAAATTCTCCTCATTCTGGAAGATTTCTCGAGTCTCATATTTTTCAATAGTCAAAATAAATATGAATGGTTTGTAAATATGACAATCTGTGTTACAATCCCTAATTGTATTACTTATGCAATTTTTAAACTGGTAAAGCTGGCCATACACCTATAGATTATCTGCAGATTTTCTATGGTCAGATGGAAAAAGTACAACAGATTCCTCCATCTACGCTAAACTGCATGAATGGAGGAATCTCCCACTGGGCCAAGCTTCAGCATCTTGCTAGGAGGGCCGACTAGCAAGATACTGAAGCTTGGCCCAGCGGGAAATTCCTCCATCCAC